AATCAGTGGATGGAGGATCATCTCTCTCTCCCTCTCTCTCTCTGTAGCTCTTTCAAATACATACATAAAGCTTTTTTTAAAAAAGGGGTGAGGAAAGTCTAGAGCTTGCTCTTGCTTTCTCTGTACACACAGAGGAAAGGCTAAGTGAAGACACTTGAAAATGTGCCATTGACAATCCACAAAGAGAGCTCACCAGAAGCAAAACTGTTGGCTCCTTGCTCTTGGACTTTTAGCTTTCAGAAGCATGACAAAATAAATTTCTGTTGTTCAAGCCAACAAGTTTATAGTATTGTGTTATGGCAGTAAAAGCTAGCTAGTACACTTGCTACCAATGGTGTCAGTTGCAAGTCATGCAAATCCTAACACAACCAGTTTAAATAATCTAGAAATCTATGCTCTTTCATTAAAAAAGAAAAAAAGTCCTGAATTAGGATGACCTACAGAGATGGCTGAGTCAATATCATGGAGGGCCATCACCTGCCTGCCTTGGTTTGGCCTCATCCTAACCAAGCAAGACAACTGCTGCAATTCTAGGCATGATAGCTTGACCTGACAATGCCTATAGAGACAGATAAAATCACTGATGGATCTTAGGAGGGAGACATTTTCTTTTTCCCAGAGGCCTCCAGCAATTTCCGCTAGCAACTCATTGGCTATAAATAGATCCACACACCCATAACAAGGGTATTAGAACTACCATGATGGGCTGAGATAACCCATTAGAGAAGGGATGTTGGGGGACTATCACAATACCTCATTTCCTAAATGGATCCTCTGAGTTTCCACATCAGATTAGCTTCTGTGACCAAAAAATTTTACCTAGAAAAAGAATGAGACTTAGTAGTTTAAAAACGTTGAGATAGAGGGAATATTACAAAGGTAGAACTACATGTGGTGATATACAAAAGCATAAATAAAGGAGAGAAAGAAAAATTGGATAAACACCTCTAGAGGTTCTGGACCAGGAAAGGGAAAAGTAAGGTACAAGTTGCAATGCTGATCATGAAATCCTGGGAGATAGTCCTCATCAGAATTCATTGGGAATCATTGATGTGTATTTTTCTGCTGTTCGATCCAAATAAGTCAAAAGCCAGACAATGATCTTGAATTGAAATGTTTCAAAGTACATGTACCTACCCAAGAAAATGTGTAATCAAACAAATAAGGACTGTTTTACATACAGATTCCTCAAGATAATCAATAATGCTTTCACACTGGGATTAAAAGACCCACTTTCAAGCAAATGTCCACACTCAGTGCCACTGCTAGAAAGGAGTATTTTACCATAGCTATCTTTGGATGAGTAGGTTTTTTTCCCTCTCTCTTCATGGGCTGATTCCTACGCCACAACATTGCTGCCCCTTCATGTAAAACACCTATGGTTTGACAAGGGTGTAAAGGAGTTGCAGGCCATACAGAGATAATATAATATACTAGATAAGGATAATGGTTTTGCAGACAATTGGCTTTTTTTTTTTTTTTTCACTCTAAAAGATAACCTGGTCTGACTATCCAATCTACCTTAAACTTCAGTGTGTCATCTGTAACGTAGGGGTAGAGTATTCACTGCAAATACCTTCTAGGATTTTGCAAGATTACATGAGTTAATGCCTGTAAACAAATTGGAAGGGTCTGAAGCACAGCTGGGGGACATCAGAACACAGAACACTCTGGAGAACATAGAACATAAAACAAGAACACAGAACTCTCTGAAGAACATAAATGTTACTTATTACCATTGGTTCTACACAGCTTTGTATTTGAGATGGGATCCCAGGTGAAATAAAGTGAGTAAGTTAGAGAATAAGGATATGATATTGCAGTCACAATCATCATTCTTTACTGGTATCTGTCACAACTAGTGTGTTAGGGTCCCACACCTCCCCCCTCCAGTCCATTTGAGAGATTTGCCTCTATAGAAGGAAGTGAGATTCCCAAAATTCAGTAGCAGCCAAATAAATTTAGATTTTTACGCGTCACAATCAGATTTTCAGACATCAAGTCTAATGCTCTTTCTAGTACTTCTATTGAGAAATTATTCTAACGCTTTCTGAATGACTTGTTGCGTACTGTTCAAAAGATAGACTTGGAATCCTTCAATCACTGAGCTGGGAAAATGTCACAAGAATGGTATTTATCCTGCAAGGGCTGTTCTCAAACCACACACGGATGTTGGTCTTAGCTATCTGGAAGGACAGAAAGACTGCAGCCACCTTGTTCCTTTATGCACATGGTCCCAAATGAAGGCATATTAAGTAATGCCTCCAAGTATTTTCTAAACTGACTGCTTATGGCATCTGAATTTTTTTTTTTTTTGACAGGCAGAGTTAGACAGTGAGAGAGACAGAGAGACAGAGAGACAAAAAGAAAGGTCTTCCTTCTGTTGGTTCACCCCTCAAATGGCCACTGATCCGAATCCAGGAGCCATGTGCTTCCTCCTGGTATCCCATGAGAGTGCAGGGCCCAAGCACTTGGGCCATCCTCCACTGCCTTCCCGGGCCACAGCAGAGAGCTGGATTGGAAGAGGAGCAACTGGGACAGAATCCAGCATCCAGACTGGGACTAGAACCCGGGGTACCGGCACTGCAGGTGGAGGATTAGCCTAGTGAGTCGCGGCACCGGCCTGCATCTGGAATTTCATCATTAGAAGAAAAAAAAATTTGTTTTTTTTTTTTTTTGACAGGCAGAGTGGACAGTGAGAGAGAGAGACAGAGAGAGAAAGGTCTTCCTTTGCCACTGGTTCACCCTCCAATGGCCGCCGCTGCAGCCGGCGCACCGCGCTGATCCGATGGCAGGAGCCAGGATCCAGGTGCTTTTCCTGGTCTCCCATGGGGTGCAGGGCCCAAGCACCTGGGCCATCCTCCACTGCACTCCCTGGCCACAGCAGAGGGCTGGCCTGGAAGAGGGGCAACCGGGACAGAATCCGGCGCCCTGACCGGGACTAGAACCCGGTGTGCCGGCGCCGCAAGGTGGAGGATTAGCCTATTGAGCCACGGCGCCGGCGGAGAAGAAAAATTTATCCCTAAAGTATAGCTTTAAGAAAGCCATCGTTATACTGCACTGGGGAGGCAGGAAGAATATTAAGATCCTTGTGCCTATAGTTAAGTGTTACTGATTCTTGTCTGATTGACCAGTCTCTTATGGTCTCCTTTGAAAGTACAAGCAGATCCCAGAGGGGTGCAAGCAGATCCCAAATGACAGTGATATCTGAATGCAAAAGGGGAAATAATTCCAAAGCACAAGGAAGTGGGGAGGACTGACACTTCCTGTCACCTTCAGGAAGCGTAGGCAGGGAGGTACAGGAAGATGTGAAAGCAATGAGAAAGAACAGAGAGGGTGGGATGTCAGAAGTCAGTCAAGTCTACTTATAATTAGTTAGTCCTAGGGCTATTCCTAAAAATGACTCGAAATTCTTGCTTGAAATTTATGATTTCCCATAGTTCCGGTATTTGGCAGACATAAAACAAGTGTAAGACCTTGTTAAGCCATGTCAATATTTCTTCATCACTAAACATACCTAACTCATTAAGTTTTGAATCCTACATAATTTCACAAAGCATATTGTTGGAACTTGATAAATATTTGCCGAATGAGTGAATCTCTCATTATTCTGGGTTTCCCCCACCCCTTATATTTTAGAAGTGACTCAATATTGGATGTATTGGAATTTTAATAACTGATGTAGGCTTCTAAGAAACAATAGCAGTTTTTAAAGGTCTACAAACCATGATCCAATAGAACTCCATCATGATGAAAATGTTCTTTAATCTGCCCTGACCAAAACTGCAGCTACTAGTCATACATGGGTGTTGAATATTTGAAATGTAGCTAGTGAGACTAAGGAACTAAATTTAAATTTAGTTCAAATGAAAGCAGCCACATGTGGCTAGTGGCTACCTACTACATTGGATAGTGCATGTCTAGAGGTTTAATCAGAAGTTTCCTGCTGCCTCTCTTAATTTTTAAAACCGTTTTGATCAGTTCTATCAACTATCATGCTTCTATCCTTCTCTGTGTGTGTGTGTTTTAAGAAATAATTTGGTTTACCTATAATAACGCTAAAGACTAGAAGAGCAAACCGAATTGAGCTGCACAGCAGCATCTCAGGGCAGATTTATGGGTATCATTTCTAGGACCTGTAATGTGTGGTCAATTTCTAATTTCAACTATTGACATAAAAGGAGGGAGCTGTGTAGTTGAACTAGTGGAGTGGAGAAGTGCACAGCAACACTGGCAGGCTGTCTCCTCCCTCCTCAGGAATCTGACACCTTCTGGCTGCCCCTGGGATGGGCTGGCTGGGGCCTCTAAGGTCCTTTCCCTTAGCCCTCCATCTCCCAGCCCCAGGGAGCTCTCTCCTCCCTTCCCAATCAAAATGCAGTGTGAATCATTGGTGATAGCATGGTTTAACCCTTCCTTATAGATAAGAAAACTGAGCCACAGCAAAGACTGGTGGGAGGATAGGACAACTCATAGTTGATTAAGCACCTGCTGTGTGCTGGCTAGAGACTTTATATGTTGCCTGCATGAATGAATGTTATCTTCCTGACAAATGACTGGCATTCATTAAGCTGTATTTTTCGAATGGATGACTATATGAATCCATGTTTAACACGTGAAACAGACACTATTCCGTATCACAGAGCACACTGAACCAGAAACTGTGACCTCAGGCTCAACACAGATGATATGCCAGTCACTTATCTTTTTCTCTCCTTACTATTTAACTCCTTACCCTGCTTCCTGCATCCTCCGGGTTTTACTGTCTTTCAAAGCGAACGACCAGATAAACTGACCAATAGATTCACACCAAAGGACGCACACACGTTCACAGAACACGCCCCTGCTCCCTCCCCCTCTCCAGGGATCTTCTAATTTTAAGGCCAATCTTCTAAGGACAGTGTCAACTTACAGAAATGGCTCCCTCGGAATTTCATGCTGCTCGGGAGATATTTTATTTTGATATTTTAGTGACATTAATAAAAATATGCCACAGCAGATATTTTCCTGGCGTATGGATGCTTACATAGAAACGATGCGTTCATCTATAAATTAAACTTAAGCAGTGTTTGCACTTAGCTAAATCTACATGGTTCGGAGATGCAGACGGCTGCTTTGTGTCCTAGCCCCTACTGCCCACGGACGACTGAAAGGCACCTTAGAGATCCGCTCCTTCTCAGTCTCTTCTCCCACCCTTGGAGCCTTCGGTGCTTCCGAGGCTGGTCTCAAGACGTAAGAGCACTGGGAAAGGATGTGAAAATTAAAACACGACTCTGATTTTTTTCGACACAAAGGCCGCAAACAACGCTAGCTCACAACGACTTATAAAATATTTCATATCCAGAAGTTGGAGGGCTACAAAGTCCAAGCCGTCCAGGCCAGCCTGCAGAGGCTGCGTACGCTTCCGCCTTGCACAAACCGGGTAGGCGCCGCGTCGCGACGAAGGCAGCTGCAGAAGAGGAAGAGCATCACCTGCAGTCCGAGGCGTGGGAAACGCTGCCCGCGGGCTTTGGAAGCCGAGGCGCGCGCGCCGCGGGGCCCCGGGGCGGCTCCGGTGCTGAGTTCGAGGAACGCTGGCGCTCGGCGGAGCCCGGGAGAACGCGGCGGGGTGGAAAGGGGCAGTCGATTCCCCGTGGGGACGGCCGAGGCCGCGGACGCCGCTTCAGCAGGGCCGTCCGCCACAGCCTCCGGGAGCGCAGCCGCGACTGCCGCCGAGGCCAACCCAGCCGGAGAATCCCGGCCGCGCCGGGGAGCCGGGGGCGAGGCGGGGCGCTGACGTCACAGCCCCTCACCCCGCCGTCCTCCAAGAGGGAGGGAGTGGGGAACGGAGGCACTGATCCGCCGCAGCTCCCGGCCGCAACTCCTCAACTCGGCGGCTGGCTGCCTGGACATGTCCTGACAAACTTGGCTTCTCCTCGGCCCTCTCCGTAGCCCTCGTGTGCTCTCCTTCCGCCTCCTTTTGGGGCTCAAGTTTCATCGAGGTCGCTAGCCCCAGGAGATGCGACCACCGGGGTCCGGGCAGCGCAGACGGATCGCACTCTGGTTGGGGATATGCTGAAGATCCGAGGGCGGCAAAGTTGGTACTTCAGCCACGGCTCGTAACACACAGCCAAACGCGTGGGCATTACGGGGCGGCCGGGGACTTTAAAGCGCACCTCCGAGGACTCGGCTGGACGGTGAGTTCTTTGTTCAGTGCAAGCCTTTTAGTATTTAAGTTAAAGTGCATTCAGGACACTAGGAGAGGTGTTTGGCAGGGCTGCATGTGCATCTTAGGGGCTCTTGGCCCAGGGAGCTACGCACCCCTGGTTGCGCACGGCTTGGGGACGGCAGATCCGTGTGCATGGCTTTTGGAAAGCATAAAATACACACAGAGCACTGCTCACAAGAACTTGAGAGGCGATGCTGTTGGTGCATTATTTGGAATGTAACTTATTATAGAAATGGTGCCTTGGGAGGGCGCATCGCGGGCCGCGTGATCTGCAGTGGCGCAGCGCCCTCTAGTCCGGGCGGCCGGGGAGGCGCGCTCTCTGCCCGGTGCCTGGCGGACAGCGAACTTGGACCTGCCGGGTGCTCCAGGGACCTGGGCGCAAGCTCTGTGGCCATCGCCGTGGCTCCCGCTGCCACCCACCCGGCTCGTTCCTTAGACGCTTTCCACAATTTAGCTTGGGCGTGCTGGGTGCGGAGGCGGGTGCTAGAGGAAAGGATTGTTGTGTCGGGAAGCGATCCCTCTGCCCCTGCATTTCCCTGGGCCCTTGCGGACAGAGTTAGTTGATGGTCGACTACTTAAAAGGACAGATGTGGAACCTGAGCCACGTTTCTCTCTTCCCTGCGAAGGTAATGCGATCGCTGCCGAAAAGGCATCTCCGTGCCGTGCTGTTGGGGGCTGGAGGGTCAGTGAAATCGTGGCAGAGCCAGTCTGAAATTTCCATCCCTGGCCCCAGGCGGTTCTTGTGGCGACGAAGCGCAACTTCTTCCAGGCAACCGGACTTCTCACCCTGGAAAACCGAGATTCCTAAACAGATATTTTAGTGTTAGTAAGCGCCTTTCTTTCCTCACGACCAGCGGTCATTTTCTCCAGGAATTCATTTGCGCGATTAAAAAAAAAAATCCTGTGATTTTCTCGGTACGGACTGGCACCCTTGCACTTTTCCCCCCCTCCGAACTCTTACCGTCTCCCCAGCCCCCCACCCACGGCCGGCGGTCTTTTGTGGTCGTGTTGTGCCCAGAGCTGGTATTCGGCACAGGGCGCAGACCGGCAGATCTTGGAAGGCCGCTCGCTTTCCAGGCGCTCCAAGCGTGGAATTGATCCGTAACTCCAGGAGCACTTTGCGCAGTGGCGGCCTGGGGTTGGTGGTGTTTGTATTGGGTGGGTGGGTGGGTTTGTGTCTATATTCTCCGTAGGGCGCAGGGACTAGAGCGCCACGTTCGAATCGGTGCAGACACGCCGCACGCATTCTTTCTTCTTCCTAGCCATAACCTGCTCGAGGTTACAACCTTCTTTAAGATGGCTTAAGAAAGAGGCCGCCTCAACTTGGGAGCCGAGGGAATTCGCTCTCGCGCCCCCTCCGTCGGCCCCGAGGGAAACCGGATCTCTTTGTGCTCGCCGTGTGAAAATGTTCCAGCCGCACAAACTTTGCTAGGTCGTGCCCGCCCCGCTCTCCGGGCTGCGTCCCCCGCCGCCGAGCCCCCCGGCCGCGCCGAGCCGGCGTCCGGAGCGCTGCCCGCGCCCGGGATGGGCCCCGAGCCCCCCGAGACGCGCGGCCTGGGGAGGTCCCGGAGTGGGGCGTCCCCCTTTCTCCAGAGACCTGCTGGTTACCCTGGGCGCGCGGTGGGCCGGGGCCATCGGGGCGCACTGACGGACAAAGTACCCGAGGCGGCACGAGCTCCCAGACGCGGGGAGCCTTAGCGCCCGCGGAGGCCAGAGTTGGGGTTCGCTGCCGGGGGTCGAGCGGCTCGGGTCTAACCTGGGCTCTGCACCGAGAGGGTGAGGAGCAGCGTTTGTGTTTTTCCAGGCTAGTCGTGTAGACGGAATGACGGAGGAAGTGGATTCCGATCTCCCCGCATTCCCGTGGAGACCTAGTGGAAGATTCTATTCCGCCAAGTAACTGCAGACTCAGAACCAAGGCATTCAAATGCAGATTGAGGAATTCCCTAAAGATTCTGGAGAATCTAAAGTGCTACCAGGAAAGCTTTTTCTTGAGGCCTTACCCTTTTTTTTTTTTTTTTTTTTTGGAACTGCACTGTTTTCCCTTTACTAGCAGAGAGCATTCCATATTAATTCCTCGCCCCCGCGACTTTGTGCTGGCCATTAACTGTCCTCAGCCACAGAACAGGCCTCCAGCTATTGCTCAGGGTGTCGCACCGGGCGCTTGATCGCATCCACCCCGCCTCTCGGAGCCGACTTCTACAGGGACCCGGGCCCTGCCGGCGACCCCGGGCAGGCAGCCTCCGCCCGCGACCCCGCCGCAGGGAAAGTGGGCTCGAGTTTCCGCGCCGCAGAAACGAGCGCCGGCGCTCGCAGGCGTGGCCGCGGGCGGAGGGATATTCTCGGCGCGCGCAGCGTGAGGCGCCGGTGCCGAGCCGGGGCGGCCGCGAGCGGGGCGGGCAGGCGGCGCTGGCCGGCGACACCATGCGGACGTGCGGGCCCAGTGAGACCCCCGGCGGACCCGTCCCCGGCTCGGGGGCACGCTGAGGCCGCCGAGGGTGCGCCCCGAGGGAGCCGCCAGCGCTTGGGAGCAACTTTGCTGTAAGTTTGCAAGTGAAGTGAAGTTTGGGGGTACGAGCGAGCCGGCGAGGCGAGGGGCGCAGCGCCGCTCGGCGGGCCGGAGCGGGGGTCTGTGTGCAGTCGTTGGGAGGCGTGCGCATTGCTGCTCTGGGGCTGCAGGCTTGGGGGTCGGTGGGTGCCTTCTCCGGACTGTCCGGACCAGGACTGTGCTGCTCTCGGTGTCCCGGAAAATCGAATGAAAAAGAGCCTGACTGGAAGGCGGTGCCGGTTCGGCCGCTTGCCACTTGGAGAGTCCAGTGCTGGCCTTGGCGAGGATGAGCGAGCGGGGGGTCGTGGGCGACGTGAACAGAATGGCAGTTCCCGAGCTCGGTACGGCTGCCAGCCGGCCGCAGGCGGCGGCCCCTGCCTCGCGGGGTCTGGTCCTGGCGTCGTAGCCAGGAATGCGAGCGGCGGCCGGGGCGCGGAGCTCCCGGGCGGGCGAGAACTTCCGCTGCGCCCCGGAGCTCGGAAACTTGCAAGCGCGCCGCGCCGTCTCCTCGCCGGCGCAACTCCTGCCTGCTAATGGCTTAACCGATGTGGCTCCCGGCTTAGTTCTTTCCAGCTGAAATATTCACAGGGTAGGTGAGATGAAAGCAGGGCCGGTAGCTGGGAGCGGGATCTTTGAAATGGAGTCGCGGAGTTGGCTCGGAGGTCGGTGCCCCGGAGCAGTGCCTGTCTGCGGTTTGCTTGCAGCTGGTTGCACGGTGCAGAGGTGCGGTGCATGAGTTGCGGGGCTGCACATTTGCAAAGGGTGCGGGTTAGCAGACGTTTTTGTCGCCTGTGAAAGAAAAACTTCTATTTTTTTTTAACAGGTTCTATTTTTTTCTGATTTTGCTTTTTCTTGTGGGAAGCTGACTCTGGTCTCTAAGGTTTTTCTGTTCTCACTGATGTGGATTGCGAGGCTTAGGAAACAAGGACGCAATTGTATGTATTCGGAAAGTAAACTCATAAATATTTTCTATGCAGTTAACTTTTTTTTTTTGCATGTGTCTGAACTGTGGTTTCATTAAGTGGCTTTTGTTAAGCAAATCCCTAGTGCTTGATGCAGGCGATTTTTTTTTTTAAACGTTAGGTATTTACAGTGCCTGTTGAAACCGGGAAAAGATTTAAAAGGCAAATGACCTGCAGTTATTCTTTTTCAAGGTAAATGCGTGTTAAACTAGGTGATAATGTTTGTCATCATACTCCAGAATTTGGATTGTGTTACTAAGCACAATCAGTAGCAGTTACAGCCACTCAGGAAAAGATGTTGCTCCAGTTAATATCGGTTAATTCTGCTATTTGGTTTTGGCTTTGTGTGTTAGAAGGACATCTCTGATTAGTATCCCCTTTTCTTATGTATTTAAACTTCATGATGTAAAAATTAATCATTGTATAATTTTTAAAACAAAGCAATTCATGTAACTCTTAGCTTATCCCAGAGTGGCATTTAATAAGCTCTGTCTCTAAGTTACGACTTGAATAGGTTTGCATTTGTGTACTTGTTTCTTGAAAAATTAAAATCTCAACTTAGCCAAATTCTTTGTCACTGTGAAGGGAAGCAGGGTGGTTAAAAGGCTTCCTGGAATCATTTTGGCCACCTGTATTTTCATTGGCATCCTTTAAATGGTCACAAGAAGTGTCCCTGTTAGTTCTCATCATGTTAGTGCATAATTCAGATGTCAAAAATAGTGTGCAAACTAGTACTCTTTTCATTCACCTAGTCCCCTGCCTTTGTAGTGTTGGTCATGAGACTCAGCTTCTGAATGACCTTTGAAATACTCCTTTCTTGAATGGAACAGGTAGAGGTGATCGAAGAGATAATCTGTTGTAGTTCTCATATCAAGTCTGCCACCTCCTTGGCTGATTTTGCTTAGAATCAATAAACAGAATGAAATTAGTACAGTACTTTGTTGTATTAAATACTGTCTCCATGGTCTCATTAGTAGCTTGAAGGACCTAGTTTAATAGTAGGTAGCCATAGGGCTTGGTGTGTTTTAATCTTTATGAGTGGGAATGCTTTTGACCAAATTGCAAATATGATGGAGCCAAACTCATATCTTTTTGGCATCACTTAATTATGCAATTTGTAAGTGTCATTTATCATTAGATATTGGAAAGAGGTTTTTGAAGTAGATGATAGACATCATTTAAGATGAGAAAGTTATCTGATGGGAGCTTTTTATTTAAAAGATGTTCAGTCAGTTGAAGAATTTATATTTCATGTTTCTAAAGTTTGTTTTAAATTGTCTTTTCATGTCAGTTCAAGATTTAAATATATTGCCTAAATTTTTGCTTAATTCTCAGAGTTTACCATGTATATAGTAATGTTTGTAATTAAATGGCTTGTAAAAAATACTTAGGAAAATCAGGGATTGTTTAGCCTTTATCCTTCATAGACTGTTAAAGCACAGAGCTTCATGATAAGGTCTC